ACACAAGGGTGCACACATACATGAATACACACGTGAGTGTGTACACACACGAAGGTGGCCAGATTGGGTTGACCCCCACAGGGCTGCACCCAGGGTCTCCTCAGTTCTGAACCCTGGGGTTCAGGCAACATGGCTCGCTTTCTTCTTATTCCCAACTAAAGGCAGACCTGGACATCAAAGCAGGCCCCGCCTTTCTGCAGTCCAAGGGCAGATCACTCAGGGTCTACGCTGTCTCCAGTCTGGCCCAGACATCCACCCTCCTCCTGAGGCTGGTGTCTCAGCACAGCACATCGTAGGAGGGTGGGGCCTCTCAGCATCAGACCACAGTAAGTCCCAGAACAACCGAGAAGAGGGCAGGGGAAAGCAGGGGGTTAAAAAGAACAGAGAGGGGCTGCAGCCTTGAGTGGGAAACACAGGATGCAAGCCCAGATTGGCTCGGGGTAAGCTGTGGGAGGTCCCGCTCCTGTCATCACTAAGCGCTCAGAGACTCTGGACCTAGTCATTGTCCCTGGGGCACACCGGCCTTGCACAGACACACACAATCTCACGGACTCAGATAAGGTCTGAGCTTGGACTCCTTACTCCACAATTCAGACCCCGAAGTGACCGAAGGTCATGAAAATAGGGGTGCAGGACATAGGGGTGCAAGATGTAGGGGTGCAGGATGTAGAGGTACAGGAGGTAGGCCTTATCAGTGATTCTGTGCATGTACTGCTGGGACACTGCCCAGGCCACTCCCTCTTGGGCCTATTTCTCCCCTCCTGGCTGATGCATCTACCCCAAAGAAAATGCATTTGAATAACCCTGTGGCGTGAGTGGCCGTGGGCACGCACAAGTGTGCAGATGTTTGAGAGTGTGTGTGTGTGTGTGTGTGTGTGTGTGTGTGTGTGCAAGAGTATGTTCACGCCTGAATATCCTGTGTGCATGAACATGCTTCGTGTGTGCGTGAACATGCTTCGTGTGTGCACAAGTGGACATGGGGCTCTAAATGTACATGAACATGCATGTGCTCGTGTATGGCCAGAGGTGTGCAAGTATGAAAATGCTTGTGAGAATATACAGTGGTGAATATCAAGTGTCTTGAGTGTGTGAGTACGGCCGGACTTGTGTTTGCGCTTCCACGTGCACCCATCCAGTTGTAAATGTGACAGTGAGCGTGCATGCGTGTGCATGTAGGTGTGTTTGTGTGGATTTGTGGGTGGGTGTATAAAATTTTCGGGTGTGCCCACATGCAAACACAGTGGCAGGGCGCACACATGAAGCATTTGTGTAGGGGCTTGCCATGGGAGTGGGTGATTGTACCTCTAAGTGGGCATACGTGCTTGCGTGTGAGGATGAGCAGGGGAGGGGCAGGTATGACTCACATCCCCAGACACAGTAAAGCAAGACGAGAGGCCACAGCTGGGGGAACCCAGTCTACCCAGGGTCCACCTGCTCTCTGCGTCCATAATGGGGCCTGGGCCCACTCCTTCCATCTCCTACAGTGCACAAAGTCCCAGGCCACAGGGACACCATAGCCACGTGGCCATAACAGCCACACTCTGCTCATGCCATGGTAGTGGTAAAGAGCAGGTAGAGAACCCTGTCACCTATATCCTAGTTGTGTCTTTGTTGTTGTTGTTTTTGCTTTTTTGGTTTTTTTTTTTTTTTTTTTTTTTTTTGAGACATGGTTTCTCTGTGTAGCCCTGGCTATCCCGGACTTGCTTTGTAGACCAGGCTGGCCTCGAACTCACAGATATCTGCCTCCTGAGTGCTGGAATTAAAGGTGTGTGCCACCACGCCCAGCTCTGGGAGTGTCTTTCAGTGTGTGATCTCAATACATTGAAAGCACCTCACTCTGACCAATTCTAGTTCACAGAGCCGGAGACAAACCAGCGGGTCCCTGGCTTCAAGCAGCTGACGAAGGTGGCAACATCCCTGTCACTGATTCCAGACACTTGACAGGACAGGGAACCCCGCCAGACGCAGTCCACACACGGTACCCAGAAAACACAACTGCCTGATGAAACTGTAGAATGAGTTACCACTCCCATTGACAGTGAGAGAAACTGAGGCACAGAGATCATCCTGTACCCCCAGCATACAGGACTATGCTTGCCCCCTGAAGTCCTCGGGGGCTTACTCCACTTACTCACAAACCTACCTGCACCCACCTAAGCCAGCACCTGAGCCACCCTACTCCTTACCCCTTACCCTGAGACATCAGGGATGTTACAGGAGAGAAAGTGCATCTGAAGCCATCGAGCGCCCCCAGAGGGTGATGGTGACAGCTTTAGTGATAAATAGAAACGAGAGCACACATATTCCTTGACAGATCCTAATTTCCATCACAGGCAACCTATGGTTAAGATCCAGCAGAAGCTGAGATCTATTTCCCCCACCCTGATAGGCAGCCTAATTGAAAATGCACAATGTACACAAGTTCAATAGACCTGAGCTACTTCAAAGAGAAAAATAATATTAACTGATACAGACTCATCCGGGGCACAGAACAAGCATCTGAGGGCTATGAAGAACACTGGATACAGGAGGAAGCCCAGAGCTGGTGGACACAGCTGTCTCCTCTGCTCCAGCTTCAGGAAAGGCAGGGCAGGAGGGACCATTGTGGGTAGGGGCCTTGAGCCAGTGGCTAGACTTGCCCAGGCCCACTCCTCCTAATAATCCCCTCTACTTCCCCAAGGCTCTCATAACCTCTCTGAAGATGGACAGTGGTTCTGGAAGGGACCTGCTCCCCTGTACAGAGTAGGGTCTGAGCCCAAACCCCAGTACAAAGTGTCGGTTTGCTCTGAGCCTCTACTCTTATCAGAAAGCTAAGCTTGTAGGCCTGAGACTGGGGTGTGCACCCAACTCTGGATTTTCACAGTACTCGGCCCCACAGGAGCCCAACAGGCTCCCCAGAGACCTAATACCCTACGCCAGCATCCCCTGGGTAAGGGCAGGGCCACCCTGTAGGCTGCCGCCATTGCTCATTCTTTCAGATTCTTCTGCATGTCTGCCCCAAACCCTCCAGAGTAATGCCTGCCTAGAATTTGGAGGTGAGGAGACAGTGCCATTGGCAGAGGTGACAGGGTCTGAGAAGAGGTGGCCGTGAGGTGCAACAGAGACACCATTTCCGAATGCAAATGCCACCGTCTTCAGACATCTCCAATACTAAGTGCCAGAGTTCACAGACAGCCTGCAGGGTGGCTGGGATTTTGTAGCGGGGAAGACATTTGGAATCCTTGGGGAATACCAGCTTGCCTTCCCCACAGGTTTCCCTACCTCCATCCCCACTTATGTGTCAATACCGGAATACAAATATTGTAGAGGATAAAATGCTCTAGAAATGGCAGCAGATTTTCAATACATGCTTTGCTTATGGACCTTTTACCTTCACACCATCTCTGTGGGAAGCAGCATCTTCCCCTGGGAAGCAGGGCAGAGGCTGGGTTTCAGTGAGGGAGGGGTTTACACCAGAGTGGAGGCTAGGCACAGGGAAGCCTAGGCACCAGCTACCTAAGAATGCTTGTCTTCACAACGCGCTTCCTTCCCCACCGAAGTAACAAGGGCTCCTCTATCCCCGAGGGAGGGGCACTGGCACCTTTGCAGACTCCTCCCTCTCTCTTTTTAAACCTTTTCTCTAAAAGGAATGCCTAGAGGCTGTGTAGGGGGAAAAAAATTACTAGTTTAAAAAAATAACAACAGTCTTTTAAGGCTCCTAGAGAACCCAGCATGGGCCTGAGCCGATGCCTCTCTCTCGTCCTATAGTTCATGCCCAGCAACAGACCTGTCATCACAGCCCTTACCACCAAATACTGTTCTCTGCCATCAGAGTCTGGGTGTGAGTGTTCCTGTTCGCCTTGTCATCAGCAGGTACAGCTGACTGACAGCCCTCTCTCTCTCTCTCTCTCTCTCTCTCTCTCTCTCTCTCTCTCTCTCTCTC